GGAAACCTCCTAGTCCTCCTTGCCCTCTTCAAGCCCTCCGATGGTGTCACCTGCAGCAACATGGCTGCTTGCAGTTTTCTGAATGCGGTGCGGACCTTCCTAACCTGTGGCTCAGGCTGCTCTGACATCTTTCCTCCAATAATACAATTCTAACCATCCCTCCCGTAGAAAACGAAAGTCTTCTGAGAAGAATCACCAGATTCTGTCATGTTCTAAAAAACACACTAATCTCTTCCTTGTACTTTTATAATATCAATCCTAGTTTAACTTACATAGTATATTTTTAAGAGAGACTTTTGCTATAGCATGTGTGTGCTCACCGAAGACACAAAAACAAGGGGGGGGGGCGAGAAATAACACCTCAAGGGGGATGGCCATGCTGCAAGCCCTTCTTAAATCTCTTCTCCTCCAGTGACTTTGAGTATGCATGCAGACGCTCCCAGCATGAGTTTTAACCCGCCGGGTCGGGGACTGGAACCGCAGTCAACTAGGCAGGAGTCCAGCAACGTAACAATTCCATCATCTGCTGGTCCCTAACTTATATAGTATTCTGAGCTACTGAACAATGATAACTGAATCCTAGTTACTTCATTTCAACCACCTACTTTCCCGCTCCTATCCAGAGTGCCTGCTATATACCAGCAGCTCAGTCTATGTCTGAGCTACAAAATAAGGCACATTGTTGCTGCTGACAGGACTGGTGGAGTCAAGGACAGAGATAGCTAATAAGAGTGAAGCTCTAGTATGTTTTGCCTTGTCCCCCCACACAGCTGACAACCCCATTATATGTCTAGAAAAGGTAATGGCATGTGTTTGAAGAGGAAAGGCACTGCAACCCTATGTGCAGTTAAGTGTTGGAATGAATGACAGAACAGACACAGGACTGGATTTTAATTCATGAAAGAAACCGTCGTTAATATAGCAGCTGCCATTCAAGAATTGCAGTGGGACTCAGAGTGCTGTACACACTGTCACTTAGTTAAGGAAACATCACACAAGAGTCAAACCCCACAGTGGCAGTAGTACTTGCCCAATGTTTGCATCTGGAGTTATGATGGCTGTCTTCTGAGGACTTGGAAGCCGTGAAGTAGATTTGTTATGACCCTTTCAAGGCCTTAGAGAGGCAGGAATGATCGCTAGTAGTAGAAGATCAGCTTGTGAAATGCAGACAATAAACTAAGATGCAGAAAAATAGCCACAATCCAACGTACGAAAAAATGCAAAGAAAAACTGATAGCAAGACACCATTGCACTTTAAAAATACAGGCTGAGTGTTATATCCAAATTCTGGGTAAATGTGAGGAGAATAAAAAGAAATGATACTTTCAACTGTTGATACCTATATAACCTATTCACAATCTTTGAGAAGAAAAGTAAGTGGTCATACTCTTCCTATAGGAATGACATTATCTTTGACTCTTGGGAGTCTAAAGCAGGGAACTAGCTCTGAAGAAAATACACAAGAACATGCTCCTGTAGCACCATTTACAAAATGCTATGCATGCACACAGGAAACCACTTCAATATCCAACATAAACACTTCCTTTACGTAAGACACATCCCTGCACCTTAACCTTACATAGTCATGCTAAGTCATATCTGTGAATGCTATAACAGCATGTAACAAAATATCTACATAGAAAAATCTAGAAAAAGAACAGGGTAATAAAATAAAAAAGTAACTTTTGAAATATAAATATGTGTAATGTGTTATTTCAAAAGAAAATCTATTTCTTTAATTTCTAATAGAATCCACTTAAGTTTCTGCTAGTTAATGAACACAAAAAGACAAGTTAAAGCACTGTCCTTCAGAAGATGAAAAAAGTATGCAAGAGATAAACGAAGCATCTCTCAAGAAAGATTGTGGGATCGCCATAGCTGGCCACGTGTGTGATGTGGGCAGCACTCACCTGTGGTGGCCGAGGCTTATACGGGGTGCTGCACTCCAAGTCGGCCAAGATACTGGTCAAGGAGTCGATCTCTGCATCCAGGCTGGAGCGCCTCTCCTCCAGGGTCTTGCCTCCAGGATTTCCCTGCTGGAAGCAACACACACATTAAAGGGGGCATTTCCACTGATATCAGTATGAGCTCAAACTTTGCAAGTTATAATATGGCTTTGTCCAACTTTTTCTGTACCTCTTATTTTTAGTTTTTATAAAATCAGTGAGATAGACTGAGGTAGAGCTATCTCTTTTTGACAGATAAAGAAATTGAAAAATATGAGGCAATTTCTTCTCTTTTTGAGACATTTTGCCATAGGGTGCATGCGCTCACTGGAGAGACAGAGACAGAAAGTGAGAAATCAGCTCCGGGGGGATGGCCAAGCCACAATCTCTTCTCCTCCATTTTGCTCTCGAGATTTGGGGCATACACACATACATGCAAGCATGAGTTTCAAGTCTCCAGGTATGGGATTTGAACCTTGGTTGACCACATGGGAGTCCAGTGCCTTAACCATTATGCTATCTGCTGGCCCTGAGGCAATTTCAAAGGCCACACTTACTCAAGAGCTTTCTCCTCCCCTCAACCCCCACTCAATGTGCATGCAATGAAAGGAAACTAAATGTCTCTATCCCTGCACTTAAGGCATAGAACCAACTAAGGTGATATTGCAAGCTCATTGTGCTCAGAAACCATTACATAGAATGATGGTGGTTTTGGTGTGGCAAAGAGTGAAGAGACCAACAGTCCAGAAAGAGGAATCAGTACTGGAAAACAAGAGAGCATGAAAGTGCTGGCGTTATCACAGGAATACTGGGTGTAGGCATGAGAGAGATGGCAAGACCCACCCTTAAAGCATGCATTAGAAAGAGAGTGTTTGGTGTCTGGCCAAGGGCTGCAGAGGAAGCATGTGACAGTGGGCACAGATGATGAAGTTGGGGACCTACGGATTTCATACGTCAATGTTCCATTAACACCTGTACTCTTAGTAAGAGGACAATAGAGGGTAATGACATGACCACAGGGAATTTCCAGGAACTGTGAGCAGGCTTTAGAAAAACTAGCAAACATTTTGCCTAGACTTTAAGGCAGAGAGTTGGCCCTAAAATTTGGAAGCAGAGTGAAGTAAAAATAATCTTTTAAGGTGATCATGTCATAATAATCAGGTATATATGATTCAAGAGTCTCTTAAGACTCCAACATGATACAGCAAAATGTATCTTCATGTAGACCCAATAGGGATGAAATAATGGGGAGTAAATATAATCTAATTATCTACATTGAACTTGTCTAAGGAGGTTAAATATCAGGGCAGTGCCTGGTGTTTGCAAGAGTCTAGAAAAAGCATCAGCTAAGAAGGAAACTATCCTCAGTAACAACTAAAAATAGAGTGCCCTAACAGGCTAGCATTAAATTTTACAGCCCTTAAAGTAAATCTGTCCTGTTAGTGACTATGCTGCATCAGGCATCATGCATAATGGTACTGGCTATTAAGATTACGTGTGCCTTTCCTGTACTAGCTTGTTCACTGTGCCTTCTTCCCTGAGTCCTGGAACTTACATAAGCCTCAGTGTAAAAACAACTTAATAGGATCTGGTGTATTGGTTTGTCACTAGTGAACTTAGCTAGCATGAATTAATTCCTCCTGGATCTGATCTATTCTAGGCATACTGTGCCCAGCTCTTTGCAGCCAAACCTAGACCACTGCCTGCCTCGTAAGTCAACTGCATCCTTATTCACGAGTCCTTTAAATATGGTACCTCATATCACATTAGATAAAGCAGTGGTCTCCTGATTTTCCCCCTCTGTATATATGATCATGGCCCTCTAGGTCACTCTAGCCCCTTCCCCTGTTGTACTTGGCTTTCTAATAACATTTTCACCACCTATCATTATCTCTTATATGCATCTCTCAGTTTATCGTTAGTCTCTTCCGTAGGACAATGTGAGCATCATGAAAGCAAAGACTTTGTTTTGCTCTTCCCTGTTTCTAGAAATTGTTCAGGGCCTGCCTGAGCTACAATAAGTGTTCACTATATATTTCTGAGTTAAATGAATAATTAGTGACGGATCGTAGCATAGGTTCATCCCAAAACATTCTTCAGTTTAACCACTTTGGGGTAAAAGCAGGAAGAGGTGCAGGAAGAGGTACAGGAAGCCATGGATGCTACTGTATATGTTATAAAAAAGGAAACCATAAAGATCTGTGTGTATATGTGAGTGCATGCACATGAGGTTATGCACACATGTGTATATGCATGGATCAGGCTCTAGGGCCTAGATACGAAGGATGGCTTTGTGAAACTGAGAGATTTTACTAAGCTTCCTTAACAGAGCCCAAACCAGAAACACAGTGATATCCCATGTTGGTTATGTTCAGACTCAGATTCTGAATTTCCAGGGTGACTAAACTCCTAAAGGCCCGTGGATCTTTGTACTAGGAACAGCTGTTTTCAAGGTGTTAATCCCGCCAGCAGAAGATCTCATCTTTACCCCAAAGGGCATTATAAAGTATGAAGCACTGTGATATTATTAAGAGAAGTAGCTGTTAAACATTTAAAATGTACGTGAACATTCTAGGTAATGTGTTCTGGTACAAATAGGAAATGCAGGACACAATTGTTATAGGAAGCAACTAAGAGCTAAGTGAACATGATTCTCTCATGTACAGATATAAAATGTTATAATAAATGTGAATTTAATAAGAGTATTTACATATACTCATAAACAGCAGTATATATTGGCACAGGTGGTAGATTAGAGCCTAGTAAAATTCTTCCCTGGGCTGTAGTTATCTCATCTATAAAATGAAGAAACATTATCTCCCTTACCTATGCCAGAGGGATATTACAAGATTCAGATAAGAAAATGGATGAGAAAATACTGTGTAAATTGTAAAGTGCTATAATTACGATGATTTTCGTAAATAGCATTAATTACAGCAACGAGTAACTATAAATTAATATGGGCAATATAGCTATTGTTACTTCTTAAGGAAAGCATCATTCATTAAGTGTTCTCCTAAAACAGCAGCAAAGAGCCACAATTTTAGCAGGTCTCCATTTTACTGTAGCAGAAAGGACAACAGCTGCCTAGGCCCTATGTCACTGTGATATCTAACCATAGAGACTCAAAAGTCACAGGATGACCCTGAGCCGCACAAAAAAGCAAGTAATTATGGTGTAAACCAGCCTGTGCTTGTAAGACTTCAATTGGTTTCCAGCCTCCTTATTCTCCCTTCCTCATTTTCAGTTTCTCATACTAGGTCGAGGCAATTTATTAAGAAGTTACAGCTTAATGCCGTGGGATTTTGCACTAAAACTCCTCAAGCTGCCCAACCTGACCTTAGGATAATAGCTTTGCGCCTACGTTTCAATCTCCATTATGAATCAGAGTAGGCCTCCTTCTCACTTCCTAGTCTGTATTTTATGTCACAGTTCAAATAACTGAAGACTTGGCCAAGTCTTACCGTCAATCCTTCTCCTGGTATTCTCATCTACTCTCCCTTCGCCCTTTAGATTTAGGGGCTATCTTGGGCTTCTCAACATTTCGCACTAGATCCCAGGAGCCACAGTCCTAAAACTAGCTAATAGATCCTAGAGAAAACATACTTTCCTTAACTCACCAGGACTATAGCTTTGGAGTCTCTTGATAGTTAAATGACCTTCCCAAGGCTAAACACCAAGAAGGAAGATTCTCCTGACTCAGTCCCTTTTCTAAATACTACATGAATGCCTATAAAGTAGTCATTGCAATAATCTCAATTCTCACAGCTCTTCAGCCATAAATAGAAAGATTCCAATGTCATATCCACATTCTGCCAAACCAAACCAAACCAACAATGGGACCAACCAGTGGTGTTGTGGTTAAGGCAGCTGGATCCCACATGGCCAACCACTGATCATGTCCCAGACCCAGTGGATCAAAGAACACACCAGGAGCATGTATGTGCATGCCTGAAATCCCAAAAGGAGGAAGAAATGGAGGAGAAAGGATTGAGATGTGACCATTTTCTTGGGAGGTGCTTGCTCGCTTTCTCACTTGTTCCCTCTCTCTCTCTCTCTCTCTCTCTTTCTCTGGTGAGTGCGTGTGCTCTATGGGAAAATGATTATCAAATAATGAAATAAAACCCAAAACAAACAATCCTGTGATAAAAGCTTCTATGTGGGTCATGTATTTGGGAGAATCAATCCCAGGAAATAGCACTGAGTGACTGGGAAGAATTAAGCAGATAAAGGTATGACATTGAACTGACCAGTAATGTGGACAAATAGGGAACCACCCTCCTGGGGAGCCCTCTGAGGAGTCCTCAAAAACATCCCTTGAATGTGTGCCAGGAGATAGCATAGTGGTTACTCCCACATGGCTGACTGAAGTTCAAGTCCCATGCTCGGTGCTTTAAAATTAAAGCCGGGTATGTGTGAGTGTGTGCCCAAGATCTTGGAAAAAAATGGAGAAGGAATTGAGGTGTGGCCATCCCCCTTGGGGAGTGATTTCTCACTTTCCCTTTCACTGTCTCTGTCTCTCTGGTGAGTGCATGCACCCCCAGATAAAAACCTCTAAAACAAACAAAAAAATCCCTCAGGTCTTCCCACGTGAGAGATAGGAGAACAGATACTTCTTTTCAGGCTGCAGTTATCCATTGGTTTAGGGTCACCTAGGGGGTTTTAAACTTCCTCATACTTTCCCCAAGAAGTAGAACGGTGGCAGAGAAGGCCCAGGATAAAAAGTGAGAGAATGGTATAGCCGGTGGATCAGGTGATACCCACACAGAGCTCGCTGCTATAGCAGTGGCTGTTTTAGGGAAATTGTAGGGGAGGATGACAAAAGAAGTGATTTGGGTAACCAAAGGTGAACAGTAGCTGCACCCATTCACAAATCCCCATAAGTAAACCATTCACGAAATGTTATTTTCTGTGACATTTATTTTTATTCATTCTACAAATGTATACTGGATAAAAAGCTCCCGAAATGACAACTGGGGCTGATCATGCCTTGGGAGATCACAGTTCTCACTCTCATCAGTAGAAGCACAGGGTGGTGCCTTCCTCACTGTGAGTACATGGAAGCAGTTTATAAAAGAGGAGCCCAGAAC